TGCATCGGAAGGGATTGCAAATGTGTTCAATAGCGAAGCCAAGTTAGGACAATACCTCTTTCAAGGGTGTATCAACCTTGCTGAGGTTACCTTAAGTGAGCTTCCATCCCCCCGAGAGTCAGTACTGCAAGCTAGGACCAGTGAGTTGACGCCGGGCTGTCTTAGCTCTACGGGAATCACCGCACTTGCTCTCCCAATGCATTTTGTAGCTATCGGAGCGCATGCATGCGACAGTTGCCGACTGCTTAAGAGTGTAGACCTTTGCGACACCAATGTCAAGGAAATTCCGGAATTCGCCTTTGTGCACTGCACCAGTCTCAGAGAAGTCCTCCTTCCGACAACTCTCCATGCAATCCGAGTCAAAGCCTTCATGAACTGTGCAGCCCTAGTTGAGCTTGCCATTCCGCCCTCGCTGAGGTACACAGGAAGTAGGGCCTTCCTAGATTGCACTGTCTTTAGCAGGCTTGCCAAGATGCCAGGAAGGCATAAGTGGCGAGGAGTCTACGCTGAAGAGAATGCTTTCGCCATTTGTCCTGCTATGCGATGGCCACCCTGGCTGCACATGATCCCGGACATGGGGTACACCCCTGGTCTTGGATGAAAACAAGCCTTTTTGGCTGCAGCAAGCGCTGTATCGCAGTTACTCGTTAAGAGTCTGGGCACGCGCCTTAGCGTGAGTCCAAGGTAGGCCAAAAATCACACCCGGACAAATTCCATAGGGGAGCTGAGAAACATTGCAATTGTACCCTTCCATAGGAGGTTCCACTCATGAGTATCATGGCGAGACGCCTGCACCTAGAGCTAGGGGCAAGCAAAAGAAAATAAACTGCACATTGCCAAATACCAGTGTCCCTGAACAAACTGGATAACCCGTCTAGTCCAGGCAATGCTGAGAGCTGTCGACAGATGCCAGTAGTCACAGGGAAGAAAACTGCTCAGACCTGACAGAGCCGGCAATCCTGTGGCTGGAATGGGGGACAAGCTAACCGACAGTGGAGTACGGCAAGCAAGATGCGCAAGCACTAAACAACCTCTTCTCGCCATTCGCAATGCTGTGAGCCAATAGGAGTGAGAGCCTTAGCTCTTCGTTCCTAACAGGCGGGTGGTAGAGAGTGGCAATGGAGGATGCCCAGGGGGAACCTTAGTTCCCTTTGTTGATGTCCGACATTTCCAATTTTGTACAAAGAGGTACAGATACCATGCTAGGATTGTCCAAAGTTTCACCTGTTTCACCTGTTTCACACCGGCCTTGCATGCAGCCGATCACCTTTTGCAATGGTGCAGCGCTTCATAGACCAAGAAGACACCCCACTCTGTTTGCTATTTGGCACCTTTGAGTGCCAAAGGGCGCTGAGCTGACCTCCCTTCGGGGGGGGGCCTTTTCGCACCATTACCTGCAGGCTTTCGTCGATTATGGCCGCCACTTATTGATCGCCGATTGGTAGCATGCCACTGGACTTGTAGGTGCAACCGGTTGAACGGGTTGTGCCACAAGAAAGATCTTTTCCACGGCATGCCGCATAGCTACGCCACCCCACTTGCCAGGGATGCAGTCGACGTTGAAGCATTGCGATACTCCGCACTGGGGTGTTGACCTGCATCGTGACCATGATTTTGCCGCACTGGGGTGTGGCCGCTGGTCACTCATAGTTGTGAAGTGAGGTCCCTTTGAAGCCTTTTTGCGACTTTGCTTGAGCACAGACCTGCGCCGATATGCTTTTCGTTCGTGAAGTCAGGCCCCTTTCTAGACACTCTTTTTCGTCTCACCTGTTTCACCTAGCACAGAGGAAAGACTACATGATGGTGGAGACTCGGCCTGTGGGCCTTTTGTTGTGGTTTTTGGGTTGTGTTTGTGGTCCTTGTTCTTTTCTCCACCATCAGACTGTTTTTCCCTCCCTTCAACGATGACCTGGGCACCATGCCCACACGGCGTCCGTACTCGTGAAAAAAAAGAAGATGAGTCTGAACTACAAAGGCTACAGCAAAGCCTCCACATCACATATGTCACTGAATCTGCTCGATGGATGGGCAGCAGCAAGCACAAATACTGGCACTGGCTGCACAGCCGCCTTCCCCTTGGTAAAGTCAGCCTCGTGGACTTGAAGCTCAGTCACCCGGACGTCATCCCTTCACGAGACCGCATGGCCGCACCCATGCGACTCGCTTCATGGATACGATTTTTGGTGTGCGCTTCGTCCTGGGTATCTTTTTAGCTCTTTGGTTGGATACTTCAAGTGACGCTGACTTCTTACGAACCTGAAAACAGGTGATCATAACCTGACTATCTGCCTTCAGAACCTGGTGGGGGGGGCGAGGTGTGGAGCAGCTGGAGTAGCGGGAGCAGCGACAGGTAGTGAGGACCGCAATAGATGTGCCTTCAGTCCGGAGGTTTCGCGTTGTATTGACCTTGACAGGAAGTTGGCGCCGTACTTGAGGCCTGGGAGGACACTGCTGCGAATCAGTCGAAACCAATAATTTCTTTGCAATGAAAAGCAAAGTTTTTTTGGGACCAGAACGAAGTGCACATAAATGCGTTTTGTATGCGCTTCGTCCTGCTTACATTGGAAGGGTTTTTGTGATACTTGAAGTGAGACTGACTTCTGAAGAACCTGGTGCCAGGTGATCATAAACTGACTGTCAGCTTGAAGAAGCTGCTGGGGAGGCGAGCTGTGGAACAGCTGGAGTATCGGAAACATCATGATTTATTGATGACTGCAACAGATATGCCTTCAGAGCAATCTGACGTCATATGCTTCTTTCACGGCATGTAGGTACCGGGCTTCTAGGTTTGACCGATCTGGAGCGGGCTGAGGCGGAGACAGATGCGGCTGGATGTGTGGAGCCGCTTCTCACGGGAGATGGTGAAAACTAATTTCTTCTTTGCGATGGAAATCATTGTTGTTAGGACCAGGATGAAGCGCGCATAAATTTCTCGCGGGATATAGTCCAAACCAGTATTGTCTTTGCAATGAAAAGTACTTTTTGTTGTGACCAGAATGAAGCGCACGCATAAGCGTTTTGTGTGCGCTTCGTCCTCCTTACGTTTTAAGCTCTTTTGTTGGATACTTGAAGTGACGCTGACTTCTTACGAACTTGGTGCCAGGTGGTCATAAACTGACTATCAGCTTGAAGAAGCTGCTGGGGAGCCGAGCTGTGGAACAGCTGGAGTACCGGGAGCAGCGAGAGGTAGTGATGACTGCAACAGATATGTTGCTCCCAAGGTTTTGCCTTTCATATTGTGTTCACCTTGACAGTAAGAAGGCACCGTACTTGAGGCCGAGGAGGAGACTGCAGCGAATCTGACAGAGAGGCACCCAGATTCGTTACTAAATCATTATTTTGGAAATCATGTTTTTGGGCATAAATGTACTGTATGGGCGCTTCATCCGGCTTGCGCTGTACTGTGACTGGATGTGAAACTCGATGCAACAATGCAACGCTTGGCTCCAGCTTCGCGACCGCACATCATTGCAGGTCATTACCGCTGCTGCTCCATTCTTTGAAGGGCCTGTCTGCGAGAGTGGAGCTGATGACTTGAAGCGCACTTACGGCGTACTTTCTGTTTGTCTGATACTTGAAGTGAGACTGACTTGCTTCGAGCCTCTGCTCGCAGGATATCTGCTCGCCGCTTGTTTTTGGGACCGGGATGAAGGATTTGTGTGCGCTTCGACCTGCTTACGTTTTACTCCGTGTTTTCTTCTGGAAATGGGACTGACTTGTTTTGAGCCGTTTGAAGTGAGACTGGCTTCTTATGAACCTAAGACATATCTTTTCTCTCGCCTCTGTCCATGTACATCTTCGCACGCTCGCATCCACAGATCTACCTCTCCACCTCCATACATCTACACATCTGTATCGCACCTGCGCATCCACACTGTCACTCCTTCACGTCCACCCTTTCTTTCTCTCTTTCTATATATCTTTTCGACAGTGCTGGACAATCACATGTCTCGGTCTCGGGCCACCCGCCGTCTAGTCTTGAATTCTTGATTCGGCAGTTGTTTGGCTTGGTTGTCAAATTCACTCAGTTTCATTCTTTCTTGGCATTCTCTTCCTTTTGCTTGAAACTCACTTGGGTTGGTTTGTATTACCGTGGTGTATTCGCAATGGACTCGCTTGCACATACTATTGCATACACGATGCCCACATTTTATTTTGACCAATTTCGAGCTCAATCAGGCCGTCCTTGTAGCAAAGGACTGCCAAGCAGTCCTTTGCCCCGAGCATTGATTCTTGACAACCTGGAATGTTGGCCTTGGGTCAGGTTCACTCTCAAAGAAGAATCAGAACTCATGTTTGCAGATGCCTTGTTTCTTCTGGAATCTTCGCGAATCCACTTAGCCCGCTATGGCTGGGCCGTCGTGATGAAGCCTGGTGCCCGAGATGAGAGCATCGACCACCATTTGCTGTCATCACAGAATGGGTGATGTTCAGGGGTGGAAGGCACCGCGGACCTACCGCCTAGAACTGGGTTGTTCTGGCCGGTGGACTTCAACTTAGGGCATCCAAATTCCTTGAAACAGGGAACCATGGGCTACCATGAATTTCTTAATCAGTTGTTTGTTGGGAAAATGCCAGCTCAAGCCCCTCCGCGCTTAGGGTCCTGGTCCCGCTGTCAGTGGCATTGTCAAGTTTCACTTTGTAGGACGGTGCGGTGACAGGCAGACATCGACCGTGGGTGCTTGAAATGAATACTGATCCAATGCTGATGAGCACATCAACTAAACAAAGGAGTTTGTTGCCAAACAGATTCTTCCTAGAAAAGGCTGAATCCCTGGAATCGTTGGCAGTTGTTGTCACCAGGAATCCTCCGCCCTCGAGCCCATCATACGGAAGGAACCTCCTCATGTGATCAATCGATTGGGATCAGCCAATGTTGAATTGGTGCTTTGGTTGAGACATTTTGGCACATCGGTCGTGCGATGGTAAACGGTCACACAAAAATGACCTTCTGACGTTCTGGTGAGGATTGGACCAGCCTTTCATTCGATTTGCTACGCATGTCACTTTCTGCTGAATCACCCAGTGATGGGGTGAAGGTACCTTTCAATACTGGATGGAATAGAGCTCAGGCGTGGTCAGAAGGGACTCGATACTCTTGTCCTGCAGCATTTTCTAAGAATTTGATACACATATCAAAGAGTGCCGTATGGTCAAAACTGAGTTAATGGAAGAAAGGACAAATGCCATCCGACCATGGTAAACCGAACGGCCCCACTTCACCAGAGGTGTCTCGACGAAGCATTGAAGACAAGCATTTCACATCTCATGTTTGATATGCGGAGTTTGGATGACACAAAGGTGACTGTCGATGCTGCGGCAAATCCAGAATGGAACAAAAGCCACAGGACACTGGAGGCCGAGGCTTGTGGACATCAAGTTGAGTGCGAACGATGCTGGAGAAAGAACTCCTGCAAGTGAGGTGAAGATTTGTCCAATCATTTTTGTGTTGTTGTAGAGGTTTAGTTCATGCAAGAATTTCCCACCAGTCTTTAGCCATTTGGTTGGGAAGGTTTACTGTGAAGGGAACAGCTGATTTGGAGCCGACATTTGTCTCTTTGGGACTGAGCCTGCCTAGACAGCTTTGATGACAGGCAAAGCAGACACCTCGAACACATGGGACAGTTCTGTCCAGGCAGGGCATTTGCCCTTTTCCGATCTTGCTGCATCTTTCTGTTTGTGCTCTTAGAGCTTTCAGTCACTCAATTGTTACGGCCCTTTGCACCGGAAGACTCTGCAGGAGCTTCTATCAGCTCTACCTTTGGAAGACCACCAGCTCCCAAATCTCAAGTCCAGCTGGCCATGCTTTTGGTTTGGTGCTGAATGAATCTTCTTAGTCTCGCCAAGATAAAGAACTGTGCTTCCTCCGAGTTCTCCATACCTTGATGACAGGTAATATGATGTACCTGACCCTTGTGGTGGTTATCCTTTCTGGTGTTGCTTTGGGCGTTTGCATCCCCATCGTAGCGACGAAGCAGCAAGTAGCTTGTGGTAGTCATAGCAGGAGAAACTATTTGGTTTGAAATGTTGATTTTGCTGAAGGCGTCTAGACTATTTCAAGGAGCGAGGGCGGAGGGTCCGATGGGCCATCCAACAGCCTCAAGGGCACAGTCTGTCGGTGATCTGGCTATTTTTGTATGGAGGCAAGGTCGTGCCATTTCTTGTCGTCCAAAGAGGACGACCTGGCTGAGCATCTGAGGTGAACTACTACTATGAAGAAGTCAACACGCCTCCCTGGCTTCGTCGCCCATTTGCAAAAGGGCGTGAGACGATCAATTTTGTGCGTCCACTGAGGGTCCACCAGAAAATAGGACCACTGAATTGTATACATTATCACAATCTAGTCTGTGTATGTACATATATATATATATTTATTTATGTGTTTGTTTATTTATACTATATGTGTATATATGACATATGTGCTATCATCGCTGGAACCCATATCTCAGATGTGTGCAGGTTTTGCCAATCAGTTTCAGGTATGTTCCAGAGGTTGGTATTTGGATGACTTCAGTCACAAGTTAGCGCTTTGCTTCCCAGAATCAGAAGTCTCCGCAAATGTTCGGAGGAATGCTTTGAATTACCAAACAATGTGCGACGCCAGTACAATGCATCAATCTTTTTTGTGTTTGTTTTCCTCCCATTCTCAAGGGGGCAATATTTGTTTGACAACTATGACCTGCTTCTTTGTTTTGTAGACCGCCCTTACTTAAGTAAGTAGGCGCCTACTTAATGAAGTAAGGGAAGAAGCTACCAGCTACTGAGGCTGATGGACGGGTAGCTGACGGTTCTTCAAGGAAGCTTCCCCCGCGGTTTGAGGGTGGGGGGAAGCTTCCTTGAAGCGTTCCACACTAATCACTGAGTTAGTCATTGGTTCCTAGAACCAGTATTGGAATCAGTATCATTTACCAGGTCCTTGGTTCTTTACTAATCGTTGGAAGGTAGAGTTTCACAAAACAACATTTGCAGGACCTGCTTCAGCTCAGGTGACCTGGTGGAAGAGCTCTCACGGCGGGATTCGCGCCGCGAGGAGGACGAGGGTGACGCCCGGGCGTTCGCCCGTTCACGTTCCACGGATCTGGTGCAGGATTTCCTCGACCGGTCGTGTGGCAGAATACCAATTCATGGTAGAATGACCGTGCGCAGGGTTCTGATCCAAACATAATGTAGGGTGAGAAGGTGCAAAAAGAGCTGATCGCCTAAGCCACAGTTCTTGGAGAGAGAGAGAGAGAGGTGTAGAAGTAGACTATGTTGGAGTTCAAGTTTAATGACTGCACTCTCATGTTGCAAGCGCAAGTATTCCCTGAACCGCACCAAAAGCAGCTCAAGCATCTCAGTCAGGAGGACATCTATGCTCGTAGCCGCCATGAAAGCCCACAAGTCAGGGAGCGGTCACCAAGTTCTCTGGGCACGGTTCCGAAATGCAGGTCGTTGGAAGATGTGAAGCATTTCATCCTCACCTCCAAAGCTAAGAGTGTTTCACCAAATCCGGCCCTTGTAGCGTCTGGCGTCTACTGGGTGGTCGCCTGAGATCACAACGAGGCCCGGCGCAGCCGCAGCACGAGCTCCTCGCGGCGCCGCCGGAGGCGTCGGGAAGAGCTGGCGCAGGCGAGTGAAAGAGCGCTGGTGGAGTTGAGACTCCGTGGCCTCCACCCTAGTAGCTATGGCCTCCACTGTAGTAGCTATGGCCTCCACCCTAGTAGCTACCCTA